AGACGGCGACCAAAAGAACCCAGAGGGGTCTCAATCAACACCATCTGCAAGTCATCGTCATAAAATCATCACCATCGAAGAACCACGACGAGCCAACAAGCCTCAGGTTCATCTATCATCGGCCGCCATCAAACACTTCTCATCATCACTGTTCATATCGGCGACGGAAACCATCGAGAAAACACAATCATGCGTAAGAATCACCTCGAACTGACTCATGTGTGTTCTTTCGATTTTTTTTCTTTTTTCAGGAGAACTGACAGCAAGAACAAACAAGAAGAAGATTCATGAAAATGGATGGAACAAGGCAACAAAAAATCACAGCAATCCCTCACCTGGGGAAGGCGTTGCCGCGGGCTGCCATGAAATGGGGGAAAATGAACCCAAAAAATTTTAAGGACCCTTTTATATCCGTCTGGACCGGGTCGGGTCTGGGTTGGTGACCCAGCCCGACCCACTTTTTATTATTATTTTTTTTGTTTTATTTTATTTTTGTTTCTTGTTTTAATTTCTGTTTAGTGATTATTTAAAACAGTTTTTTTAACAAAGTATTAAATACCTTTTTTTCCCTAAGATTAAAACTAAATTTTTTGTAATAATTAACACAAGTTTTTAAAATAAATAATTAACATTAACTTTTAAAAATTAAAGTTCTAATTAACCCCTTTTGAAGTTAAAACATAATTTTTTTCTAACTCTCAAGTTGATTTAAACTCTAACAATTTTATTTCTTAAAAATATTTCTAACCTAATAAACCTTTTGAAAAAATCTAACTTTCTTTAAATAATTAAAAACCTTTTTCTTAATTTAAAATCTAACTTGTTAAAATCAAAATTTTTTTCTTTTAAATTTTAATCCTAGCTTTTTTTTTATTATTCCATTTTTTTCTAAATTGCACTTAAACCCTAATGCCATCCTTATTCTTTTTCAATTTCTCATCGTCCTGATTATCTCATCTGCCTAACCTTTATGTCGTCCCTAACATTATTTCTTGTTTGTCCATGTTTACTAACCTTTTACGGTTTGTATTATTTTTTACGGTTGTAACTTATTTAACAATGTCATTATTCCTCATCCCATTATTATCCACCTGTATTATTATTCCAACATTGTCATTAAGTTATTTCTTGCGCTGTTAATTTTCCTCCGAAGGAAAGGTCTATCTGTTCGACCGCCGTGTCAATAGTCCTTAACCCTCGTCCACCTTTCACCTTCCAAGCCGTAGACTTCGAGTCGCCGTACTCATACGCTTAAGCGTCCCTCCATGGACAAGGTTACCCTTTACCCTAGCATTAGGATAAGGAGTCGCCGCACTCCATATTAGGTTTCCCGCCGTGGAATACCTATTTTACCCTTTTTAATTCAATTCAATTACAATGTAGAAATAGGAGCCGCCGCACTCCACGCAAGCGCTTCCCTATGAACGCTTATTCCCCTTGAAACCTTGACCACAATGAAGAAGTTTCGTACCTCCCTTTTGAGGGGAACTACAATTACTCTGATTCCATCCCCTACCTCAGATACGTAGGCACAATATGCGAGTCTTTGTGAGTAAACTTAAGATTAACCCTTAGGTCTTTCTTTTCACCTTATAACCCTTAGCATATACCCTTAAGCAGATAATTTTAGCAAAATAGCAACATTTAAAATAAAAGGTTCCTGTAGAGTACTACAAAAGTTTAGGGTGCTAATACCTTCCCTAAGCTTAACCAACCCCCGAACCTAGATCTTTCCCCGTATTGTGTTTACGATGCAAAATAGGTTTTTCCTTTCTTTAACATTTCCTTCGGATAAATCAAAGACCGGTTGTGAATCAAAGATTTGTGATTCAAATTAATTAATAATTTGATATCCTATTCTCACTACAACATTCATGCTTTCTTAGTTACGAAAAAGAGCGGTAATAATCAGAAGCATTGAATGTTGAAGGTTATTTCATAATAAAATCTACCCCCATGGGTAAAAACTTATGTCTATTGGAAGAATCTATCTTTGGTGATATCAGTAACTTGGTTAAGAATGATGAGGATTGGGTTAAAAGGTGGTTTGACAATATCCATTCGTGGACACCTTAAGATGTGGACAAGGAAAGGCTCAATTGGATGAAATTTTTTGGATTACCTTGCCATACTTGGACCCCCAAGTTTTTTAAATTCATCTTGGGATGTGTTGAAGAATATGTTACATCTGATGTTGACACAAAAAACATAAATGTTTTGATGTTGCGAGATTCCTTATCAAAACCAAGTTTGCGATAAATCTAAACGAGGGTCGGATGGTGACAAAGGCGTATCGAAGACGACTTCAGTGAATGAAGAAGATGATGTTCTTAAAGGACAAGATAACCAAGACCAGTGTGATAGGGGGAGGTGGTGTCTAGTACGCATAATGAAAAGCATAAGGGTTTGGCGGAGCATCTAGACAGTGTAGCTAAAAAGCCTGTGCATGATAAGAATGGTTAAGAGGTAGTGTAGTTTGAGGAGTCACTATTAGTAGGTGTAAAGGCGACATTTGGAAGGCATGAAAAAGAAATCGTATCGTGTAAGGTCCCAATGCCTATTGCATATTTAGTTGGAAGGGAACTGGACCAGGTCAATAGTAGTGGAATGGGTATGGATCCTATTATTAGGTGTGGGCCACATTGTATCACTCTTTTGGGCCTAAGGGTGAACTCCCCTTGTTCGGTTGACCCAATTACTAATACCCAAATTGGACCTTGTAAAACAATGTTGGGATCTAAAGGGAAAAAAACAAAATTAATGCTAGAGATATATGACAATATTAAGATACCTTTTTTCACGTCGTATTTCTCTTCATTAATTCAGGTGGGGAACAAAAAAGATTTAGAACAGATGATGGAGGAGATGAATATAACCAAATCAAATGAGGGGACATAGGAAAATGGTTCAAGGACTAATTTTTCTGGTGGATCTATCCTTTTTTTTGAGTCGATCAGTAACGGCGATGTAAAGCAAGGTAATTCGAGAATACGAAAGTCAATGGACGATGTGCCTACTAAAGTATGGCAAATGATTAAAGCTATGGGCATGGAAGGCGAAGAGGATGATGATTAATTTGAAATTGTGGTGAGAGACCTTGAATCAAGGGATCGCAGAGTGTTTGAATATGAGAAGGGGAATAAATTAGGATACCATGAATATTATGTCACTCAACATAAGAGGGTGGGGGTCTTAAATAATTCGTCAAATGATAGCTGAAGGGAAAGTAGATGTTTGCTTTATTCAGGAATCGAAACTACAGGTGATTAACGATAGAGTGGTTAGGAACATTTGGGGGAATGATAAATTTGGTTGATCAGCTGTTAATTCAATTGGGCAGTCGGGAGGATTTTATCTATGTGGAGTAAAGAAGCTATTATGATGGAATTCAGCTTGAAAGGTGATGGATTATTGGGGGTCAAATGTAATTAAAGGGCACTAACTGCTATTTGGTAAATGTTTATTTCTGTTGTCGAATTGTAGAGAAGAGAAGAATGTGGTCTGAATTGATTAATATTAAGAAGAAGCTTCCAAGGGGAGAATGGCTTGTGGAGGGCGATTTTAATGTAGTGAAGTTGGAGGAAGAAAGGAAAGGTCGTGGTAAGGAGAATATGGTGGAGATGAATTATTTTTATACGTTCATTGATGCAATAGAGTTAATGTATCTTCCTACTATTGGTAACAAGTTCACTTGGTTCAACTCTAATGGCCGTTGTAGAAGTAGGCTGGATAGAATTTTATTGTCTGGGGGGCTGATAAGAGAATGGAAATTTGTAGCGTAGTACGCTGACAACCGTGATATTTCTGATTATAGGCCAATATGGTTGAAGAGTAATAACAAAAATTGGGGTCCTAAACCATTCAAAGTGTTTTCATATTGGTTCGAACATCCCGAATTTTTGGAGTTTATTAAACTTATGTGGAACTGAGATACTGTCTCGGGTAGTGAGGGGGATAGATTGGCGTAGAAATTTAGGTTCCTTAGAGACAAGACTAGGTGGTGGAATAAATATATTTTTGGTTGGGGGACTTGAAAATCGAGGCTAGTGTGGAATCACTAAATAGTATAGAGGAGGATATGGTTGTTAATAATAGGGGTTCTCAAGAGGAGCAGTTAGAGTTGAGAAGTGAAGCCATAGGTGAAATTTGGAGCATTTTGAGGATCAAAGAAAGTATGTTATGGAAGAATTCTAGGTCAAAATGGTTAAAGGAGGGAGATATCAATTCTAAGTACTTTCATGTTGTCATGAAATTAAAATCAAGGAATAACTTTATATCGTCTGTTAAGGTGAGTTTGAGTATTCTTGAGGATGTCTCATCCATGAAGCAAACCATCATGGATGCTTTTTCATCAAGGTTTCAAAAAGTTGAAGGTAAGAGGTCGGTGCTTGATTTAGCTTACTACCCTAAGCTTTTGATGGAATACAGTGAGATGCTTCGTGAAGTATTTTCAGCTGAAGAAATTTATGAAGCGATTTGTGATTTTGATGGTTCCAAAAGTCCTGACTCTGATGGGTTCAATCTGGATTTCCTAAATAGATGTTGGAGTATTGTTGGGGAGGACGTAACTAATTGCATTCAAGAGTTCCATGAAACTGCGATTCTTCCAAAAGATTTACGTTCATCTTTCATTTCTTTGATACAGAAGAACCTTAATCCACAAGATTTAGAGGAATTTCGACCTATAAGCCTTTTTAGTTGCATTTATAAGGTTATTTCAAAGGTTTTGGCTGTAAGGTTAGGAAAGGTGATTGGTAAGTTAATTTCAAAAAGTCAATCGGCGTTTATACCTGGTAGCCATATTTTAGATGGAGTGTTTAGTAACCAATGAGATCATAGACCTAGCCAAGCGAAGGAAGCAAAGTTGTCTATTGTTTAAGGTGGACTTTGCATAAGCTTGCGTTTGCATGGAGTGGGGTTTCTTGAAAAAGGTTTTGGAGGCCATGAACTTTAGTGAGAAATGGTTAAAATGGATGAAAGGTGGAGTGTTAAAAAATTTCATGCCTATTCTTGTAAATGGTGGGACTACTAAAGATTTTAAAGGGACGAGGGGGTTAATACAAGGTGACCCCTTGTCACCTTTCTTGTTTTCAATTGTGGCAGAGGGCTTGGCTTGCTTAGTGAGAAGGGCTGGAATTCAAGGGTTGTTTTGTGGATTCAGATTAAATGAGATTGAAGATAATATCGTTGTTCAATTTACTGACGAAATCGTCCTTATTTGTGAGGTTGATTGGAAAAAATTATGAAGTATCAAAGCTATATTAAGAGGCTTTGAACTAGTGTCAGGGCTGCGTATCAATTTATAGAGTGGGTGTAGATAAAGCATTTATGTCTGCTGTAGCTCAATTCCTTTCGTGTATACAAGGGATCATTTCTCTCAAGTTCCTCGGCCTACAGGTGGGTGGCAATCACAGAAGGTGTAAGTTTTGGGAACCGGTTGTCGAGTGCTTTAAAGCAAGGCTTTCAAATTGGCAAGGAAGGATGTTATCACTGAGAGGTCGTGTAACATTTATAAATTCGGTTCTTACTAATCTTCCAAATCATCACATGTCATTTTATAAAGTGCTTGTGAAAGTGGTTAAAGAGCAGATTTCTTTACAAAGAAGGTTTTTATGGTTAGATTCCTTGGAGGTTTCGTCTATGGAGTGGGTGAGTTGGAGTGGCATTTATAAACCAAAGGAATTGGGAGGTTTAGGAATTAAAGATATTGCAATTTTCAATAGGGCTTTATTGGAAAAAAGGTTGTGGAGAATTATACATGAAGATGAATCAATTTGGAAACCTATCTTGTGTTATAAATATGGGTGCTGTAAAAAAAATCCTCATGATAGTGCGGGTTGTTGGTATTGCTCGAAGTCATTCATTGTGGTGGAGAGATTTATTGAAAATTTATTGAAGATTGGGCATTCGTTAAAAGATGATTGTTTCTTGATGCAAGTATCATGCAAAGTGGGATATGGTTCTTGTGTTTCTTTTTGGCATGCTAGATGGATTGAATCAGTCCTTCTTCTAAACAGGTTTCCATAGTTGTGTGAGTTTTCTGAGTTGAAATATGGTGCAGTTGCTGAGTTTGGAGTCTGCACACAGTCTGGTCGGAAATGGGATCTGGGCTATCAATTATATAATTGGGGGGAGGTGTTGGTTATGCAGCATGACGAGTTGCTTACGATATTGCAGGAGAATATGCCTACGGGGTGTTTATTTGATTGTGTCATCTCGCCCAGCTCTGTTAATAATTTGTTTTTAGTTAAGGCATTCTACGATTTTATTCATCATTTCAATATGATAGACAGGAAGGAAATTAACTCCAAGACTGCTCTAGAACTCTTGTGGCAATCTATAATTCCCATGAAGGTCAATATATATTTGGATGGCGACTATTATTGGATAAATTATCGACACATTAAAATCTCATGGCCAGGGCAGTAATTTCCAATCCCCATTAAATTGTGTATGTATTTTTATTTTAATTGTAAAGACCACTTGATGGAGTGGTTTATCCGGATGGTTGGTGGAATTTCTAAAAACTCAGCGACATTGATATGGTTTTGTACTTGTTGGAGCATACGGTGGGCTAGAAACCAAATCATTTTTAATTATGGTATAACTATTGATATAGATTTAGTTCATAGAATTATGCATTTGTCTTGGTTGTGGTTAACAATAGGATCATCCAAGACAATTGCTTGTACATTTTATGATTAGACAAAACATCCAACTGATTTTTGTAATGGATGTTGTCTTTCTTTTGCGATGCACTTCATGTTAGTTAGTGCATCAATAGTGTAATGTTTCTTTGTGGGATTGCATTTTGCTTTCCTTCAGTTTTGGATTGAATGATGTTGCTTATAAAAAAATTTATGGTTTGGTTTGGATTCTAATTTTGTTCGGATTTACCTAAACCATTGAACACCCATACTCATAACTCATTAAAAACACCACCAAATCTAGGTGTTTCAAGCCGGTTTGATTCGATTTTGAGAGAATATATATAGTATCTGCGTGTACCTAAATTCACACCAGAGTGTGGCTATATATATATATATATATATATATATATATATATATATATATATATATATATATATATATATATATATATATATATATATATATATATATATATATATATATATATATATATATATATATATATATATATATATATATATATATATATATATATATATATATATATATATATATATATATATATATATATATATAGGTCAAATATGTTTTTCGTAGCTATAAATAACTCAAATTCAATTTTAGTCCCTATTAAAATTTCCTTTGAATAATAATCACTCTAAAGTTTTCAATCCACACTTTTGGTCCTTGGCGTTTACTTCCTCTAACGGAAGCTAATGTGACACGCCACATTGCACGCCACGACATTTAAAGTCAACATTATATTTGACTAAAAAATTTGTTATATTATGGGGTTATAAACCTCCCTACACTAAAATTAATTTTTTTAAAAATAAACAAAACTATGATAAAAAAACAGAGTCACTTGATAACATTTTAAGATTAATAGAGTTGTACAAGTGGATTCAAGAACATCTTCCAAGTGAGATATGTTGGAATTAAACCCAAGACATTGAGTAATTCCGAATCAATCTTGATGAACAAGATTCAATCACACTAATCAAATTCCCTCTTGTTCTTCACTTTTCACTTCAGTGATTCAACCAACCTTAGTTGCAAGATAATTATCTCTACACAATGACAACGAAAGGAGAAAAAATTGAATTGGGGAAGAAAGAAAAATAGGACAAGAGATTTTCTACAGAGCTTCTCTCTGCTTCCAAACATAGAATTTTATTATTTGCAAATGCAAGTGTTCAAGTGTATCTTATTTACAATAATAGGATTACTCTCTATTTATAGATTTTGCTTTCTTACTCCCTAAGCAAAGCCCAAAATATCTAATTCTACCAACACTACAAAATTAGGTTTAAGATAAAATCCTTGTCGAGGCTACTCCTCTGACACTTTTATAACAAAAGATTTCAAAACACACTAGGCTATTCGACAACTTCTTTATCCCTGCCGAGAAACCTGTTTCGACGCAAGGAATTACAATTCAACACGCCACTTAATTCATTATGTCTAAGCTATCTACATTCATCCTAAACCTTAATTTCTTGTACATTTCCTTTATCATGATATCTGTAATCTGATTCTTAGTTATGCAATGTTCCAAGTTCATCTTTCCATCTACTACCTACTCTCGAAGATAATATAACCTCATTTCGATGTGCTTGCTTTGTCCATGTGATATCAGATTCTTCGCCAGATTGATAACACACATGTTGTTAATCTTCATGGTGATTTCTCCATGACTCTTCGTTGTTATCTCTTCTACCAAATTCACCATCCACGTTTCTTGACATGCACAAAGAGAAGCAGCTATGTATTCTGCTTCACGTGATGATAGTGCCACTACTGATTATTTTCTTAAACTCCAAGAAACGGGTGCACCCCCTAACATAAACACATAATCTGTTGTGGATTTGTTATCCTCAGCATCACTACACCAACTTGAGTTGGTGTATCCCACTAGCTTGCATTATTTTTCTTCATCATTTGCAGGAAAAAAAGAGTCATAGTCAATAGTTCCTTTCAGATACCTTAGTATCATATTCGTGGTTGCTAGGTGTGATACCTTTGGCTTCTGCATCAATCTACTCACCATACCTACATTGTATGCCAGATTAGGCTTTGTGTGACAAAGGTATCAAAGTGATCCCATGAGTCTTCTATATTGCTTTGGACCAACATCATCTTCATTTGTGTCTTTCAAAAGTTACAATCTGGGCTCAACTAGAGTCAAAGTTGGGTTGCAATCTTACATCTCAAATCTCTTGAGTATTTCGCTACATATCTTCTTTGGTGCATCATCAAACCTTTACCACTCTTGTAGAATTCGATACCAAAAAAATAAGAGATATTTCCCAAGTCTGACATTTCAAACTCCTCACTTAGGTCATGTTTGAAATCTTCGATCTCCTTCTTGCAGCTTCCTGTTATCAACAGGTCATCGACATAGAGACACATTATAAGCAATTCACTATTGCTTCTTCTTACATATATTCCATGCTCAGTTATGCACTTCACAAATTCCTTCCCCTTTAGAAAGCTATTTATCTTCTTATTCCAAACTCTTGAAGCTTGTTTAAGTCCATACATAGCTTTATGCAACCTGTATACCTTGCTTTCTTCGCCTTGTTTCACAAACCCAACTGGTTATGCAACATAAAATTTTTCATCTAACGACCATTCAAGAATGGACATTTGAAGTCGATTCCTTCTTTCTAGACCAATAACCAACCTGATTTTTTTGATCCTAGCAACAGGTGCAAAAACTTTGTTGAAGTCGATTCCTTCTTTTTGAAGAAATTCTTTCGCCACAAGTCTTGCCTTGTGTCGAGTTACTTTTCATTTGGGATTTAACTCCATCTTGTATACTCATTTCACATCTATTGCCTTCTTATCTTGAGGAAATTCGGCAAGTGACTAAGTGTTGTTGACTTCGATGGACTGTGATTCCTCATTCATTACTTTCACCCACTTCAAATCTTTCAATGCCTTAGCTGCATTGACTAGTTTAACATATTCATAGAAAGCATGGTGTACCAACTCACATTTATCATCGACCATATTATTTATGTAATTACACATTCTTACAATCTTGCAGGCATGTGTCTTTTTCTTTGAGGTCTGCTTGTGCTTGCTTGACCTCAGACTTCTTCCTCGTGGACATCTCTTTTGACTTCACTTATTGGTTCTTCACATAGGTTTCTCACTGAATCCTTCTTTACATTTTCAGTCCAACCCCATTCTTTAAGCTCATCTATGATCATGTCCTTGTTGATCACTACTTACTGTTCACTGAGTCAAATAACTCGTATCCTTCAGTCGAATGATATCTTAGTATGATCATTTGACTCGACTTTTCATCAAAAAATTTCTCAACTGATCTGGCACATGCCTATATGCTATAAACCCAAATACGTTCAAATGACTCAAGTTATGCTTGACACCAGATCAACACTCTTTTGGCATAATTCCTTCTAGCCTTTTCGTCAAACATCTGTTTAAAATATATGTTGTAGTTGACATAACTTCCCCCATAATTCTTTAGGTAGATGCTTATGTTTTAACATACTTCTCACCATATTCATGATGGTTCTATTCTTCCTTTATGCAGCTTTGTTTTGTTATGGAGTGTATGGTGGCA